AACAAAACCATTATACCCTGATTTCCCATTTTCAATGGGTTCAGGGTATAAAAATAATAGCCCACATTTGTCCTCAAAAGTATGCTACAAAGATGTTACTGCAATATCTACAAGTAACTGTTAATTAACAGTTGCAAGTTTCAGCTCGACTAGCAGTTATTTTAGAATGTATAACATCGTGTCACACAGTTACTAGTTAAGGGTAGCACTTATATATAGCATTTGAAATATTTCAGTGTCATTGGTTAACTTCTTCGACAATTCCAATAACTTTTTTTTGAATACTCTTGAAAATTAAATAACGATTAAATTCATACTGCTTCTGAGTTAACAGAGTTGAGTGATGACTACTCTGTTAACGCATAAGCAGTAATCATTCTGATTCTGTTAAATCATTTATTCTTGGTATCACAAGCTGAAATATTATGTATTTAAAATGTTTTTTAATGCTCAGAGTGCCTATGACGTCAGTGACGCAACAGTTTTATTCCTTGCCAAACACCCAAAACGTGACGCCAATCTGCCACACAGATAACCTGCCCAACTGGCTGCCAGCTGGACGGCTGGCTGGCTCGGCTGACTGGCTTTTAGGGCGCCTGCGTCGTCTCCCAGTACAGTACAGGCAAAAATCAATAAATTATGGGCTAAGGCCAGTCAAGAGCAAGGCAAAGCATTGGCCCTGCCCTACGAAACTTTTCCACGCCGAGCGCTTTTCGCTGGCTTCACCCAACTTCTTCTGACGCTGGCCCCGGCCCCGGCCCCGAGCTTCCTTTTCCTTTTTCATTCACTCCTTCATTCATTCATAAAACTGAGTGCGTTTACTCTCCTCTTCGCTCAAGGCTATATTTATCGCATGCCAGCCGGCCGGCCGGAAATTGCTTAAGGAGACACTTTTCACAGCACTCGGGGAAAAGTTTAGTGCGGGTGAATTAAGGATTACAAAAAATAATAATATTATTATTTAAGCTAAAAAATATATCCAATATTATGTATGGACAATTTAAAATTTGCTCGATTTGAAAACTCTTTAATAGGCTTAGAAAATATTGAAATCACTATTTAAATTATCTAAAACTAAATATAAAGTTTACATATCAAGAATATATACTGTATTATTTTAATTATTATAGATCATATATGATTTTATACGCGGCTGATATAAAGAACTTCACAATTTAATGTTAGCTTAGTAATGGAAAGAGGAACTAAAGTTAAAATCAAGGTATTATATTATACGAATACAAGCAATACTGTTGTCGACTATTTGTATAAGACATGATAAATTTTACCTATTCATGTGCGAATCTATGATGAAAGAACTTCCATATAATGAATTCAAAGTGCAATAAAATATAAAAATTATATCAAGATCCGACTTTAAAATTAAGTAAAATCTCTGTGTTGACTTAATTACATTGGGCTGCACAGCAAATTACTTTAATTAATAGATGATTGTCGTACAAAGGTCATAAATGTAGCCTCCATTAAATACATATACATATATGTATAAGAAAATCGATAACGATGCCAAAACGCGTCCTTGAAAAGTAGGGGATGGGCCACAAAGAGAGTTTTGGCCAAAGCCATTCATGAAATGCCTTCGGGTTGGCTTTTCATGAATGAAAGGAAACCCCAGACGAATTCGACGTTCGAAATAGGGGAAATAGTGCGAATCGAAAGACATGCGCATTGAACGCATACAAGCATACCAGATATGTATATTGCCATATGTAATTGTGGGTAGTGTGAGATGGAGCTGGAAAAACTACCCCGAGCAGCAGCTCTGACGTAACTGCGCTCAAGGTCAGCGTAGAATTTCATTCATAAAAATGAAACGCCCAACGGCGCGTTGCGTGTATAGCGGTAAATTGAATGTAAATGTAGCAGTACACATGTGTGCGAGTGTGAGTGTGTGAGTGTGTGTGGATGCGCGTCTGTGTGTTTCTGTGTACACGCGCGTGCAAGCCTCAGGGGCCGCGGAGCTGCGCCACTCTTAGCTATGGGTAAAAGCGCGCTATTTGTAGCTTGTTGATTTTTCTACGCGTGTAAACACGATGCCAGCGAATAAAGCCATTTTCATTCATGAAATGCCATTCAGGATTGACAGGGGACCACCCTCGGCAGCCCCTTTCACCCCCTCTATTGGCCCTTATTGAGTACACAGCTTACTTAACCTATCCC